GGCCGCTAATACGACCACCATATCTGCACTTGTCAGCATTTGGAATACCTGTCAGGTGAGGAAGGCGCTCAACAGCCATAGCCTTCTTGATTAGAAAAGACTAGTAATTGACCCATTACCTTGTTTGTTACGCTGGACAAATCAAAAGAACCTTAAAAATAATGTCCAATCTTGCAGGGATTGAAGCACTCACCCCTCACAGCCTGAGAAGTGCCGCGAGAGCAGGGCCTGTTAGACCATGTGCAGCCTTTGTCTGGGCCTGCTGGCGTTGGCAATATATCTGAATTCCCAGAGATACCTCGGTGTAGCGTAGTTTTCTTTGCACTTTCTACAATATATATTCAGCTATTAGTTTGAGTTTTTGAACAACCACAGGGCCTACAGTGTCCAGGGCTCCCTGGGTAGGTCCAGGCAGGGCCTTGAACTTGAACTCTGTACTGATCCAGAGTCCCCATAGCTGAACACTTAGTGGGGAGAGGCGCTGGGGGTCCTCTGGAGCGGTTTTGTCCATAGGCTGTGCTGCTATGCATGGGGAAGAGCACAAGACCCTTTGGAAAGTGCCATACACATACACTTGGGAACCATTAAGGTTCTGTCTTATTGCAAACAATGTCTTGGGGCTCTGGTGCACAGTGCACCTCAAATGTTTTTACAGTCTCATTCAGCACCCATGCACATAGCACCAACAGCAGTAGAACTGTTTTGCAATGCTGGATAAACACCTCCAACTCTCAGCCCAAGCTGAGACACTAGCAAGTCATAAATCACTTTCTTAAAGAGTTCACCAGAGCTTTGCAGTGTTCTCTTTGTATGCATTTGTGTGTAACACAGTCAAAAACTAAATGTCATACATTAAACATTAAATAAGGAAAACGATATTCATTACAAAGTTTTTACAACTTATATCACCATAATCAAATCCTGATAAAGCTGTAGTAATAGCACATTCATAGATGTGTTATCATTTGTGATGCCAATTAAATTACCAGTACTTCTCTGTATGATCCCTGGTATTTCACTGGAGAAAACTTTAGTGTCTTTGAATTGTTCATTCAGACACCCTGCTAATTACTTACCCATTAAGGCAATATTTTATTATCATCCCCCAGGCTTTACAAAAGTCAAATCTTATACAGTTCATATAATTAGTAGCTCAGAAAGTCACTTCTGTTAGATAAAGTTAGGGAAAATAAAATGCCTCTCAGTGATTTAGAGGTTAGAAAAAACAATGCTGTGTGGTAACAAACATAAAAACAAACTTTTTGGAGGGAGAAGGGATAGTCATTGGTGCACAAATAATATCTGCATATGATGTACTTCGCTATTAGCTGAGTGAGGGAGATACTGTGATAAAACCTTTGAAAGTGCTGATTTCTTCAACACATACAAAAGGAAATTTCCTGCATACATAAGCATCTAGTGCAAACTTTCAACTTACATGTAATGTATTTTACATAGGCTGTCATTTTGCATAGAAAAGATGTTTTTTTTTTTTTTCCCTCTCCAAATACAAAACCATAACCCATTAATAATTAAGTCTCTGAGTTTCTGATTTGCCCATCAGGCAGTTTGTGCACTGTGTGAGTTCTGAAGAACAAAAAGTAGAAATGATAGGAAGCTGGGCAAAAGCTAAGATCCTCCTTCATAAAGGAGTTTGGTTAGCATTGAACATGTAGGTAGTTCTATTGATTATGCTCTTTAGGGAGTCATATATTTATCCTTATTTTAGATACCATGTGATTTTAAGACTCTGGAGTTGCATGCCTCAAGCACTTGTATATGGTTTGATATTACAGTGAGTTGCAGTGATGCAGTCTATGATTTCATAGCAGATCATTTATAGACTCCAGTTTTGCAAAATGTTCTGTACAAATTGGAAATGGAACACAAGTACCATTGACTTATTTGTACAATTTTCCCCTAAGTGTTGATTGGAATTGCTCTTAGCTAGAAGTGGTCTTACAGAGCCTTAAGCTCCATGAAAGAGGCCAAACCGTATTCAGTCTTGCTAAAATATGCCAAAGAAGAATTAGAAAGACTCTTCTTTTCTTCATGAGAGAACCAGGATTTACAGACCATGAGTTGTGTAAAGATATACTCAGCTTGTGCCTGTTTAGTAGCAGGCCATAAACAGCCTGCCAAAATCGAACTCATAACAAGTCAAGAGAAATCATAGCCCTTAAAATGTGGCATTGTATATGTTTTCTGTTAAATAAGCTTTTAAAAACTTTGATAGTAAACCTAATTTTTGCAAGTTTTCCATGGAAAATTATAAATAATTACATCTTGCTAAAGTTGAAATTCTGCCATTGAAGTGCAATATTTGTTAGCAGAGTCTAAGCTGTGTTTGGCAGCTGAAGTGCTGTATTTCAGTCCTGTGCTGCATATTCAGTGATCTTAATAGACTGTTTTGTTTCACCTTGAATGCTGACAGTGAGCTCTGAGTTACACCAAGACATGAATTCTCCCAAGCTTGTGAATATGCAAGAGTTTTCAACTTGTTTATGAAGGGCTGGATTTTATTTGAAAATATACAGTAATTGTGATTGTCTTATTCTACATTTGGATGTGGGGAGGGTTCTCAACAGCTTCATAAACTTAAGCATATGAAAAATGCCCTGCTGTCTTCTTTTTGGAATTTATGGGATATGTCTGACATAATGGTGCATGTATTTGGATTGGCTTCAAAAGAAAGTAAAGTATCTACATATTCACCCATTTTCTACCCTGGCATTTCCATGAATGTATACATGCTTTCTTTTAAGACAAAAACAAATCAAACCATATTGAAAACATACCCGCTTTAAATACACTCCAGAAAACCATTTCAGAATAAAACAATTGCATTTTTAAATTGGTAGTAATTTTCTCTTTGAATTTTATATTAGTGAAAAGCTTAAAGTTCAAACTTATCTTGAAAGGGGAAGCTGTGTTTCTTTCGGTCCAAAGTGGTTTGTCATTTGTGGAATGGAAGGGAAGATGAAGTTATTTAATGGCTGATAGAAAAGACTTTGGAAGTGATAAGAATTTTAAAAAGTATTCATTTGACTGCAAAGATAACCTTGAATTGCCAACTCTTTAATCACAGACTTCTTTGTGTGGCAACACACATATGAAAGGTAGCTATTAAAACAATATTCATCTTCAGATAAGGCATGTTAGGGTTTGGGCATGAGAAAAAAAAGGAGTAAGTGTTCATGCCACCCTTCCCACATTCTACTTTACTTCATCTCTTACTTCCTTACAGCAAGGTAGGAAGAGTCAGCATCTCCAATACTGCTGTCTTCATTACACCAAACCCACTGTCATTCCAATCAGTGGAAAATTGCCACTGACTGTAATCACAGAGGTATCAGACCAGCAGCCATTTAAAGGGAAAATCCCTGCTGTTCCCACCTTTCTTTCTTATCTGTAGCACCAGAATTTTTTTTTTTCTTTAATGACAGCAGGGCAGAATTCCGTCCTCATATTCAGCATAGTCAGAAGAACACACTGGGAGAACTGCTGAATAATTGAGTCATAATTGAGCTCTTATGCTTACATTTGAAAAATTGGCTCTGGATTTTGGTAAAGAATCAGCAGTTACTTTTTTCAGCTCCTCTCACTCCTTTTCCCCCAGACACTTAATGAAACTACTTTGGTATCAAACAGGTGCTTTGGAATCAAAAGCAAAACTGATCTGTGCATATGTTATCTAGAAGTTAGTACCTTTTAATGACGAACCAAATTTGAATTGACGGTTTATCTGTAAAATTCATAATTCTGCATATTTATTTATAGAGCACTTAATTTTCATACTGTTATTTTTCCATTTTGCAAGAGTGGGAAATGCAACCTAGTTCCTGTAACGCAGTGTAAAGGAAACAGTTCTGAATATGTTGAAACAAGAAAATTCTACATGGGTCTTAAAAATAATAATTATAGCAAGAACTTCCATTGTACTGGTGAAAATCAGGAAGAATTTGAGCATGTGCTGTCTGTACATGCTAGAATTTCTCTTCTGTTTGTTTTTGTTCTGTTTGTTGATTGGGAAGTCAAAAGACAGTAACTGCAGTATATACTGGTGTGTGTTTAAATGTTTTAGCTGGAAGGAAAAAGGAAGAAATCTGTCTAAACATGTGTGATGATTTCTGAGGACAGTTTAAAAATAATATTTCAGAATGCTAACCAGGCACTTTTATGAAAATGTATTTTAACTAATTGTTTCTGCTTTAAAGGCCAGCAGATGGGCATCTAAAGTTATGCTGTCACTAACAACTTCTGGAACTCCATCTCCAGCTGGGTGGGCAATGGGCTCTGATCATTGCAATATCTGTCCCCAGGGCAGCTGCTATCCCAGTTGTTCTTTAACACAGTGAAGAGTAGCCTGGGGCTTGCTGTAGTTTGTGCTAGATCTATTGGCACTTCTTTCCTAGTCTCCAAAGATTGTTACAGCAGCACCGTACAGCCTTCATTCCATTAAGCTGCAGAGGACCCGTCTAATGTGATTCTTCTGTAAGTGCCATCTCAGGAGACTGTGGACAGGTCAGACCCACCTGTAAGAACAGGGGTGTCATCCTTGTCATCAAGGCATTGTGAGGATAAGCATATTGAGCTTTGTGAGTCTCCATTACTTAAATAAGGAAGCCATATAAATAGTACTGACAGATGAGAAAGTATCCCATTCTTTCTATTTATTAATATACTGAACATACATAGATCATAGACAGTGTGCTTGTGTTTACTGATATTAGTGAAGTTTTCTAGATGACAACTTCAAGCAGCAGCAAAGGCTGTCAATAAATTAGGAAGCTGTCTCTTTTAATGTTTCCCTATCAAATACCAAGGAAAGCATTTTTCTGTTGTTGTCTATAGACTAAAATAAAAACTTTGAAGAATTAAGTGGTAAGAATAACATGTATCCAAGTTGGAAAGAGAAAGCATTATAACTGCATGAGGCAGATTTTACCTATGGCCAAAACTTGCTGCTATTAATGAAATATTATTTTCTTGCTTTGTAGCTTGCAGGCCTGGATTCTATAAAGCATTTGCTGGAAATGTAAAGTGCTCCAAGTGCCCTCCACACAGTTCGACCTATGTTGAAGCAACTTCAGTTTGTCAGTGTGAAAAAGGTTACTTCAGAGCTGAGAAAGATCCACCAACTATGGCATGTACCCGTAAGTCTGATCAGTACCAGTGCCTGCAATTCTCTTGCATGCTTCATTTTTGTATTTAAAAAAACAATGGCACATTTTATGAAGAATCCTGATAAAAATTAGCAAAAGAGATTTTTTAAACCAAATTTTGAGCAGCAGATTTCTATTTAGTACTGGTATCCCTAAAAATACTGACATGTTTTGTACTTCAATGATTTATTAACTTGTAGTTCTGAGAAGTAATATAAGGTTTTAATCACTGTCATACAGATAGCAGTGTTGAATTTTAATTATCAGTATATATTTTAAAGACATGAAAACACGTGCAACAACATCCAAAAAACTGAGGATGCTTATAAACAAACAAACAATAAAAACTGATATAGCATAAACTCCTGTCTCCTCAGATTAAAAAAAGAAAATAAGAGTACTATTACAATAACTAGCAGTGCATAGTCAATTTTTTGGTGTGTCTAATCATGTAAAAGTAACTGAGCTGACAGCAGTAGAGTTGAATCTTTTCCCATGCTAATGGTAATGTTACCATATGGCACCGTACTGGGTAAATTGGAAATATACCATACAATTTGGATTCATGAAGTTTTAGGCATTCCATAATCTTGAGATCATAGACTAAGCCATTGTCTGTCCACTGAATGGGAGTGATCTTTACCAAAAATGACATTTCACAGATCCATGGAGCTTATCAGAAAGTTGTCTAATCTAACCTAATCTAATAGAGCATTCAGGGGTGAAGGGTAAGTCCCAGTCTCCAGCTGCTTAAGAGACATAATGTCATGACACATAAGGTTCAAATAAGGACTTCAACCCAACTAACACAATCTGCTGTCAGATTACTCTGGAGCAAAGCACATAGGCCTGTGATTTTTCACAGAATATGTGAGGGGGAAAAACAATGTTTTTCTGCCACAGGAAAATGGGCTTACAAATAATTCCACTCAAATGAGTGGCCTGAGCACAAGCCTTGAAAACTTACCCACAGAGCTAACACACATTCCAAGCACCCTTGACAATTTCATGCTTATGACAATGGTTTCACTCATGCATTATGTACATCTGGTTCCATATTGTTTATGTCATTGATTTTTCATTTACAAAGAACAGTTCTCTGAAAAATTACTCATACATGGCATAAGGTTTCCCTCATTGTCTTTCAGGGCTCAGTTTTAAACTCTGCTTCTGTTGGTAAGGTAGGTCAGTTGTGTGGGATCCATGTGGCACCAGGGAATAGGTACTTACAGCACCCTGAATCTGCTCCCTCTTCCCCCCAGAATAAAAAGATGGCAGAGTTGCTTTGGTTGAAAACTGTCAGTAAAGACTTTTTGCCAGACAACTTTGTTTCTCTGAGGACATCAGGCAAAGCAACCAAGTAAACTGAGGCAAAGAAGAGAACAACCACAACAGAAGTGCCAGTGTCTCATCTCACTTCAGCCTTGAAGAAATAGTAAGGGAGACAGTGAACCACATTATAGTTTCTGCCTTGTTTCTTGTTCAGTGCCACCGTGCATTACCTCTTACTCAGCCTAGATTGCAAGGTGTCAGTACTTCATTGAATATAACAGCAGATATATTTATCTTATACCTACAATGATGATTATTTCACTAATTGTCAGCTCTGCAAATTACTAAGCTTCTGACAGGCAGACTGTGCTCTTATCTTCTTTCACATCATCAGTAATGAAGAATCTGCAGACCAAATTATTCCCTAAGAGGTATATTTAGCCCCACTGCTTTCAAATTATGCTCTCAGTCATTAAAATTGTTTGTCATAAATACAACCTCACTGCTTTTGGAGGGTCTGTACAGATGTGATTAATTTAAATTTAATAAACAAAGATACTAGTGATGTATGAGACAGGTTAGAATTTAGCTTGTTTCTTCCAAACTGTCATGCTTTGCTCTAATAAGAGGAGATGAAAAGTTAGGAAAAAATAAGCCAACTAAAATTAATAAAGTGAAAGGGCTGTACAGTAGGAAAAATAATTTTGTACATAACTATTTTTGGACCATATCTACATTTTTTATGTCAACCTGAAAATTTGTGTTCTGACATGTTAGTCACATTTTTCTTCTGACTTTTTAATCAAGAGTCATTCTTGAATCAAACACAGAAGTAATAGTGAATTCACTTTAAAAGCCTCTTCATCTTCAAATATTTTGAACCAACTACATTCATACCTTTTTTTTATTTGCTCTCTAGATCCTGCAAAGCAAGATGTCTAAAATAGGTAGATCACAGAATTATAGACGTATATAGAGGGCTTGGGTTGGAAGGGACCTTAGAGAGCACCCAGTTCCAATGCACTGCCATATGCAAGATTGCCACCCAGTAGATTGGGTGCCCAGATATTTTTTTCTTTCTTTCTTTGCATTCCTTTGTAGGGTTAGACATTATTCCTCACTCCAGTATTTTTTCTTGATACTGGAAAACTTGCGTAAGTAGCAGTATGGAGATTAATGACCTTGATTTAAGACACCATGTATTTAAGAGCCTAGCTTTAGGCATCCGTTTTTTTTAAGCTGAGCTTTGAATCTAATTTTATTAATTCTGCAAAAGTGCATATTGTATATTTTTCCTAAATTGTACAGTATTTTATAGGAGCATGTACTTTGTAGAAAAGCATAATAGAAGGAAAAAAGGAAGTGACATTAGGATATATTGTTAATTACTTTCTCCTAGCCTTTTTACATGTGATTGGCACTTTTTATCAATCTCTTGCGGCTATTCTTTATCCTTATTGTATTTCTTTGCCATATGTGAATGTATTCTATCATTAATCTCTCTGTACATACAATGAGCAACAAATAGCAGCATTACCTAATTCTCCATCTGATTACTGTGTACATAAACTCTAACATTTCCCACTGTAATGTAATTGGATAGATTGATCCATCTTTTCAAGGTCAAAGACAGGCAAACTTATGTTGGGTCTCTGGGTCTGAATATGTCTCTTTTCATGTTATGCTTAAACAATTTTGCAGCAATACCACTTATGTTCTGTTCAGTAACCACTGTTACAAACTGTATTCTCTATATTGAATCTCTTTAAGGTCCACCTCTGTTTTCCAGCATAAAATCGAGCAATATGCTTGAAGCCTTTGACTCTACTGCTACTATTGTTATTTATATGCATATATTTGGTTGCAGTTTATGATCATGCTCAGACTTGGAATATTCATTTGCAGTCACCAGTTCCTATCATGAGGAAATTCTTCCTGCCTGCCTTACTGAGAAAGAAATAAGTAATTTTGAAAAGGCAAAACTGTCATACAGCATTCCAAACCAAGTGGCAATACTCATCTATATTGCATATATGTGTGTATATAATAAAGCTACTACGAGCACAAGCGACACAGATAGATGCTGATTCTGGGTATTCTAAGGAGGTGATTAATTTCAGCACATCCACTGTGAATTTAGTAGTCAGTAACACCCAATTATTAGAATTTAGTAGTTGGTAATGAACTTTCCCACTTGAAAAAGCAGAAAGTATTTTCCAGACTATCATTGCCCAGTGTTTAAATACTACATTGCCTTCACTAGACTTCTGCAGCATTTTGACTGCTCCTCCCTCCTTCCACGAAGGGCAAAATGCACTTCACCTTCATGGAAGGAGAGGATGCACAAAGCAGCTAGATGAGATGCAAAGCACTGCATGAGGCATAAACTCAGCTCTGTAGCTTTTGGAGTGAGTCCTCTTCTCCATAATACATCAGTTCCAGTCTGCTCCACAGGGAGAGTGTAGAGGTAGTTTTTCCATTATAATTTGTAAATGACATTGTTCACACCCAGGCTGTGTTTTATCCAAAAAGTAGAAGAGCTGCCTTTTTTTCCAGTGCTCAACCATCTGAAGTGTTTTACTCTTCTACATAAAATCTTAAGTCACAAATTTTGCTGTTGAGAATAGGATCCGTCATTGTCACCAATATACTTGGTTTCCTTAAAAATCAACGTAAGGAAATCCCCAGGAGCTTTGCACATAGACGTCTGCGGAAGGGTTATTGCTGCCAAAATTTTTGATGTGTTGAATAATCTTTGTATAATTTATAAATGATAACAAAGCAATCAGGCCGCATTCATAAAAGCCCAGTGACACATAATTTAGCTGAATCTGAGGGCTAGAATTAATTGTTTCTCTTTGTTCCAAGTTCTAAATCTTAGTAAATGATTCACTGCATGTCATTACAGTTTAATATTTGCATGAAATCACAGTTTAACTGGCATAATTTAACAGCAATTAAAAAGCTATTTAATCGTCATGCAAATTGGCATGAGGGGCTTTCAGTATGAAGGGTGTCTGAAGTTTTTTGCAGACGGACAGCCATTACTTTCAGACACCGCTAATGTAATTGATTATGTTCTCCTATTTCATTGAATTGTGAATTTACAATAATTCATGTTTCCTCTTATAATTGAGAATTAAATCCCAAATCATGAATATAGCAACCTTTACTCTACAGTATACATAAAAAAAGTTTATCTACTATATTGATTCTTCCACAGATACCATCTACATAGAACTAGAAATTAAACAAATTAAAATTATTTAAAAAAGGAAAAAATATGTTTCCTGGTGCCCAGATACACATTAAATCGTATGTTTGGGCCTGCCAGAGCTTCTGAAGTAACATATAAAACCTGAGCTGTGATGATCCATTGTCGTATGTGCTGTTTATGTAAGATAAAATTTAAACCAGTTTAAAAAACACTGACTCCAGTCCTGTGAGCGATTACACACATGCTTAATTTTAAGTGCATGAGTATTATCATTTATTTCATGGGGGCTACAGATCAGCTTAAAGTCATGCAAACACATGGATGTGATTAGGGCTCATCCTCCATATTCCTGAAACTCCTCATTGGTTTTAACAACGGGAATTTGTTAAGACCAGTCATTATTTAATTATAGGAAGGTCTTTAGAGTAAACATAATTATCCTCTCTTCTACATATAAATACTAAGAACTGAAGCTGAATTCATCCGTTCTGGCTTTAGTTTATTCCAGTCAAAGAGCTTTTTTCCAGAGTAGCTTCAACTACCAATGTCATAGTAATTTTATGGGAAGTTAAGTTTTTAAATCTGAGACACTCTCAGATTGTAGAGGCTTGTTTACTACATCAGCATCTTCAAGGCTGTACCTTGCCTCTGCTTTCCACATCACTGGAAAAATGAAGCATCAATATAAATAGTCATTGTTAACAAGTTACATTTATAAATACTTCCATATTACATTATTTCATATTTCACTATTAGATTTCTCACAGTCAAAGGCCAGGAAGGAAATAGTCAAAATGGTTTGTGATCATAAAAACTGCAAACTACAAAAATAATTTTCATCTGTCAGGTTCCAGAAATATTGATCATCAGCACAAATGAGGCACGTACCGTTCAGCAAATAATAACTGCTCTTTACTTTCTCCCTACTTCACACAGGTAGATATAAAAATGAATACATAATTCAAAATATCTTAAATCTTCTTATCCACTGGGAAAAAAAAAAAAAAAAAAAAAAAAGTAATATAGTTCCTCCAAGTATTTTAATGATCAAGTGCTTGAAATTTAATACCTAACTCTTCATTTACCTTAGAGCAAAAGTCATTCTAATAAAATCATAGCTCCTGCTGTGTAGTATTACAAAAGCATCAGAAGTCAAAAAGCAACTCAAATGTTCAACTACAATTCACAGAAAACCCCGCATTTCTTAGTTCACATCATCCCTCCCATGCCATATAAACAGTTTTTCCTTTTATAAGCATTCCAGCTTTTATACTTACGCTGCATAAATAAACAGATAGCACCACTTTAAAATTATAAATTTAGATGAACAGTGACATTTTGTTCTGCAACTATTACTGCCTCTTTCCTTCTTTAGAGATAGAAGTGATTCTCTCTGCAAAATGTTGTTATATTTGTATAGATCTTCACCATTATATAGTATTTTACTAAAATATAAGATGAAGTAATGTTTTCATTTAAGGTATGGTCTATTTTTGTAGTCTAGGTCATCTTCAAGAAATAAGAAATTGAGTAAATGAATTTACTTCAGTTATAGGTACATTTTTAAGAGCTACTCATAAGCTTGATTTTCTAAATCACAACGTTTTTGTTCAGCCAAAAAAATAGCTTAAAATAACTGCAAATATTAAGGAAAAATAAGATTTAAAAATTTGAATTGAATAACTAGGAAAAAGTGATTTAACTTGATTATCTTTTTTTTTACTGAGATTTTAAATCCAAATTTATATATGGAGTAGCCTGAGGAGGAGCTTTAGTAATTTTGTTTTCCCTCCTAATGCAAAGCTATGATTTATCTGACTATCCTTTGGGCACAGGCCTTGTCTTCATGCTACAGGTTTGGAGCTTATAAATGTGTTGATTAATTATTTAGGGAGGGTTGTTAGTTTTTTTATTTAGTTCTTCTCTGATTGTCTTAAAGTTTCTATAAAAGATCATTATGATATTTCATTTATTTGACTTTCTCAGAATGGACTGACTTCGCTGCTCAATTTCTGGAAAGAAATCTACTTACAACAATTAGCTGAGATCATTTTCAAATGTTTTGTGTAGTCTTTCAGGCTGCTTGAGAGTCCTTGGAATAATGAAAAGCTCACTCAAAGTTTAACCAATGTCTCATAGCCATGTCTTAATGGCACGTTGCATAAATCATGAACATCTGTAAAGCAAGTTTAAAGTTTCGAAAGCTCTACTAACAATTGACTAAACTGTCCTCATGCACTCTGATTTAATCTTGAGATCTGAAAATGTAATGCTCATTTAACTCAACAGAAATCCAGAAATTGCCAGTTGAGTTTACCACGTTTGTCTTACATCCAAACCTGTAGCATAAAGCCTTGAGTTTTGTTTTGTGCATAAGGTTTATGGACATTTAGAAACTGTCTTTGAAAACTATGTGTCTATCTTTTGTGTCTAATACTCTTAACCTGTGGCAACCTGTCTCCATTAATGAACAGCAGCTAAGAAATCCCAGAGGATAATAGCGGGAAATGATAGAAAATTAATCTGACACTGCAGGATTAATACAATTTTACTTCTTGTACTTATTCCAAAGCTGTTATTTATTTATTTGCTTGCTCAGTTTAACTCTTATAAAACATCAAAGAGCATAAATATCAAAAAGCCTACCTTGCTAGACACAGAATAAGAAAGTAATTTTTGTGGTTAAATCTCAATGTCAGTATCCTACAAGATCAGTTGATATTTAGTGCAAATTTGTGTTATCAAGCCTAACTTGGACATTCCCAACTAATTTATATGTTGCCTTAAATTATTTCTGAAATAAATTCTAATTCATTTAGAATTTTCAACTTCTTATAATGTTGCCTATTTATTCTTTCTGGTTAATATTCAAGGAATTTAATTGTCTAGTCAATTTCTAAAATTTTTCTTTGAATTCATCATTCAGTCATCAGTATTGTTTGTAAATAATTGCCTTAAAATTAATATAATTATTTATGTATCTCCTCCCCCTGCCCCCCAAATGGGCAGTTGTCACTTAGCAGTCTTTCCTTACCTTCTTTGCAGGGCCACCTTCTGCTCCCAGGAATGTAATTTTTAACATTAACGAAACAGCTCTCATGTTGGAATGGAGCCCACCAAGTGATACCGGAGGAAGAAAAGATCTCACTTACAGTGTCATCTGTAAGAAATGTGGGTCAGATGCCAGCCAGTGTGAAATATGTGGGGGAGGAATCCGCTTCATCCCCAGGCACACAGGTCTCATCAACTCCTCTGTGACGGTGCTGGACTTTGTGTCGCATGTGAACTACACCTTTGAAATCGAGGCCACGAATGGCGTCTCAGAGTTGAGTTTCTCTCCCAAGCAGTTCACAGCTATCACAGTTACCACAGACCAAGATGGTAAGTCACTGTACTGCATGTCTGCTACTTTGCCCCTGTCATATATTATTAGGGGTATCATTTTGATTTTTTGAAGTCTGGGTGAGAGTTTGATGCTTTGCAGGTTGCAACATGCTTTTATGTGTGACAGCTTTCAGTCTCTGCTGATGAGGGCACTAAATTGTTAGTTGTTTTTGTTAGTTGGCCGTTGAGCCCATTACAGAGAGCATGAAATCACACCCTTTTGTTCAAAGCATCTTTCTGTATAAATTGAGTACACGCTTTAACTACCTGAATCTACTAGTGGTTTGTCACAACTGGAGTCTATGTCTGATGCTTTTCAAAGACTTTCCCTATGATTTTGGTTTTGAAAAACTAAAGCACCACTTTATCCATCAATTTACAATTTATAGCTAAAATAAAAGCAAACTGGTTTCCTTTAGTATCCATGTTTCATAGTACGAGTACTGTGTGCTTCACTATAAGAGATACTCCAACATCCGTATGAGCCGTTTTCTTAGATGAGGTAACCTAAAAGATTTTGTCTTCCTTTAATAGTCCCTTTTGTATTTATTGTTTCTGAGCTTCCCTCCCCCTCCATTTCAGTTCAAATTCATATTGAAGGCAGTCCTTTATGAGAAATCTGTGAAATAACAGGAGTTCTATAGTTAAATTTCTACAACTATTTCCCCTTCCATCTATAGAAACAGTTTCTATGCCAGCAAAAGCAGTGTTAGGTTACCAACAAAGCAGCCTATGTGGCAGCGTTATCTTCTGGCTTGTGCTACTATAGATCAAAAGGTTATTTCAAAATTATCTCGTGCTGACATTTGTTCCAGAAATATTTTTTACCTACTGTGCAGTGACATTGCAAGTGTAGCTGAAGTGTTAAATGTAGGACAGGAAATGAATTGGCCAAATGAGGGTTTGGAGTGGCAAGTCTTTAGAAATATAAAAGTATTTACAAAAACTGCTGATGTTTAGGAGGATACTGTTTTGTAGGAAGGCCTTGGGTTCTTTCATTGATTGATCAGCCTAGCAAAAATCTGCCTACCTTTGTATATGGAACAAGTAGTTTTGTTGATGAGTAAGTAATGACTTATTTGCCTTTGGGCATACCAAAATTAACAGCTTGCTGTGATGATGATGATGATGATAATCACAGTGATGGTAACTCTAATAATATTCTTTAAAATGGATTGGGAAAGCCATGAAAACTACTCACTCACCCTTAATGTGATGATAGTAACAGAACAGCTGATTATATAAGATGCTTAATGATACGTGCCTGGCAATGAGAATTGTCTTAAGCTCTTAGGCTATGTATCACATTATGAAACTTTATTTCCTTTTTTATTAGATAAAAAATGTGGTGCCAGAAACTCCCCCTATATATGCACTTATTTTTGGAAGTTTTGCTATATGTTACTAAACACAAGTCACTTAGCACGCACAGGTGGAGGTCACCAGAGATACAGCTTATTTTTAAAGTGGCTAACAGCTATCTGAACACTCTTTGTGAACTGTTTTTAAGCAGTAGGCTTTCCACTGATGTCTGTTTCTGGTTTAAGGATATAGATTTTCTCTGCAGTTTACTCAAAACAGGAATAAGACCTGATAATTTGATTGATAATTTGATAATTTGTGACACACTGACAGTAAATGCTAGAGTGTAGGTTGCTTGCATGCCCTACAATAATTCTTACATTGCTAAAAAAAAAGCTGTTGAAAGGGCTTCAGAGAATTTAAGATTAGATTTCCAAAATATCAGTTGGTTTATTTGGATATAAAAAGACAGCTTTGCAGGTGGAAGCATTGTAATAAATGAAATGGAAGCATCTATAAAATGTAGTTATAAGATAAAATAATTTTGGTAGGCTTAGAAACTTGTTGTGTAAAATCATAAAACTGCAAAGTATGTATTTAGAAGGAAAAGAGAGGAAGGTACTGTCATATGAAAGAGATTTTGGAAGAAAAGTAGTGGATGTTTGGTTTATGGATATTGAGAGGACATTAATAAACAGTTTTTGTAAGTTTAGTTTTGTTGTGAATAAGAAGTGGTAGTATGGAGAAAGTTAGAGTATCTGACCTAAGGAAACAAAACTGTATATCTAAAGCTTCATTGCAGAGCTTTTATTAATGTTTGTAGATCATGCTAATGTTCTGTGATAAAAGGATTTATGACCTTTTTGATTTCCGTTGGAAGCCAGAATTAGTAAACAACTTAGAATTTAATTCTTGCCTTATTTACCAGAATTACAGGCCTTTATATTGAAAATATTTTCCAGATGTACCACCAAACAGTAATCTCACTGTTGCAGTCTTCCCTTGTAACTTTAATCATCCTGAAATTGGCACTACTTATTGCCAGATGCTGTAAAATCATGCACATGTTCATATAAGCAAAAGATCCAAGGTTAAAGATAGGAAATGATAACAGGTCAAAAACATCCTAATGTGGGCAAGGACTGAATTACCAAAAGTCCAAATTTAAAACAATTTTTCCTTTTTGATGTGTCTAATTTCAAAAAATCTATATTTATAATAACTTAGACAACATGTTTATCTTCTGTTCATGCCTTCTTTTTGTATGTATTTTTTCGTACATAGTATTTTAATATTTTTTACTATACACATTACATAGTGGTTAATCTCTTTATTAAAACACAAACTGTTCTCTTATATCTTTTTCAAGAATGTAGAATAATTTCTTTAGCTGTTCTAAATCCAAACCATTTTGTTAGGTGCAGTAATTGACAGTAACTGAGGAGGTGGCATTTTTTTTTTTTTTGGAGCATATTGGATTTACTTCCCCCTTGTGCCTCCCCCCCCCCTTTTTGTTTTCATTTTTTGACACTTTATTTGGAATTAGAGTCTTCTTTAAACATACAAAATAGTTTGTTGTTTAGGATTTTCTTCTTACTTTTTGGAGAGGATGCTACTATTAATGCAGGATTAATGCAATAAAGTGTACGTACTGTGGGCATCCACAGAAACTGAAGAGCCGTATTATTACACAGTTAGTACAGTCTGAGAGCATCAGAGGGAGAATATTTGCTGACAGGAGAAGTGAACTAATTAAAAAGTGATTAAGACTCATCTCTAGGAGCTAATATTAAAATCTTAACTGCCTCTACATGGAATCACCACTGTCGACAAGATTGAGTACGCTGCTCAGCTCTAGCAGTGACAAGAGGCAAACTGAAGGAAAGTAACACTAATTTTGAAAAGGTTTTGCAAACTGCAAACCACTTCATGGTTTGAAGACCAAAGCATTTCTAGATCTGATTGAATACTAAAAGAAAACTTATTGACACTACTGTAAGCAGTATAAAATCAATTTGTTGCCATTCGCAACTTGTTTGATTATTACTTTTGTGCAAATATTCATAAATCCAGTAGCCTTATTTTTCTGACTTTCATAAGGAAACGATGTTTATGCAGTCATATTGTCTATCAGACATACTGAAGATACATTATCTTAATAGAAGTGTGAAAAGTACCCTTGGATTTTATGTTCCCCAAGTTGCAGGTTAGAGCTTTAAGTTAAAAAGCAAAGTGCAACTGCATTAGGCCAGCCAACTGACCACCTGTCTATTGACTATTCGGTCAAGAAAGAATAAATATATTTGGTATAAGACCACAGAACATTCTGTCTTGTCCAGCATGTGTAGCAAACAAAGATGGGATAAGGCTGTGTTGGAAAGGTTAGATGTTGCAGATGGAGAGATGAGCGAAGATGAGATGTGTGTTACTCCTGTGTAGTTTTGTTTCTAAATGTTATAAGAAATGAAAATAATCCATACTTTCAATTCATATATGAACAGATAGAACAAAATTCTGCACTTAAGTCCCTGTTCGAGGAAGAATATTACTATGAAGTAAGTGTGTACTCAGATTAATTCTGAAAGTAATTTGTGAACAGCTGAAGGGTAAAACATACAAAAAATCCTCATCAACTACTGTTGTCTTGCAGAGTGCTATGATGCCTTTTATTTGTGGGGATTATAAAGTTTTATACAGCAGTAAGTATGCTGAGCATGATGTAATTGTACTCAATAGACTTTAAATCATTGTGTAACAAGGTTGAGAATTATATGCTGAATTGTGATTTATTTTTTCATACAACTAATGGAAGGAAGAGACACCTCACTGCATAACTTTCTTACCACACCTTGGAGTCTGCATTGCATAAAGAAAACTCAGAAGTACTTGAGGTTTTTCATGCATAATTTAAGTAGTAAATAATGAATAATTAAGCAAAACAGAACTTAAAGCAATAGTTCCTATTTCCAAATAATATTCAACATATGCATTCACTCAGTGAGCATTTGTGTGTTCTATTATTTGAGTGCAATGGGTTTTTTTAAAGTTGCCGTTTGGAGGAGTGGAGTTGTGACACACATCCTGAGTGGTTATGTATGTAAGACAGAGTGTGACTAGCATTTTCAGTGGTACAACTGAGGAGTAGCACTCTGTAACTAGAGTGCCTCTGAGTATTCTTCTCATTGTCTGATCTGCATCTTCACCTTGTCATGCCTCTCCTGTGGAACTCTGTGCCTGCAGTCCTCAACTCATCTTTTTTATATGAGTCCTACAAGCAGTGACCTCCCCTAAAATCACATTCTAGCCATGGGATATTTCGCGAGCATCATTCAATTTGTGGGTTCCTTCTCCATGTCTTTCCTGCCTTGGCAGAAAGTTACCACTGGAGAAGTGTTCCTTCTGCCATTGCTTCCCAAAAAGCTCATTTTATCCTGTCTCAGTCCTGCAGTTCCTGAGTGACTCTGGCCTCCATGACATTAAAGACCTGCTGCTGGTGGACAAGCTGGCATGTAGACTTCCTTCTGCCTGGGCTTACACACTGTCACTGTGTTAGAGGCCTGTCTAGTTATGGTATGCCTGTCTGATGCAGACTGCCTGTGCCTAGCTGAAGTGTTATAGCAGATTCTGAAACTGGAAATCTGGCACTATTCCTTTATTTAATTCATATTATCTTATATCCATTGGCAGATATATTT